GCAAAATTGAAAATTTGAACATCATTTAAAGATAATCTCAAAAAAAAAAAAAAAAAAAGAAAAGAAATGCAACATTGGAACACTGGAAACTACAAAATGCTGTTGAAAGAAATTAGAGATCTGTCCTGAAATGTGGACCAAATTAGGTTTTGAACCTGTAAGACAGGCCATGCCAGGGGTGACAGAAGTTGCTCAGAGGTGGGGATAGGGTCACATTTGTACCCTCTGACATCCTCTGACTGTCCAGCACCTTTATTAAAACTTTAACATGGAGATCTGAATTTCTCATCTTGCCTTAAACTTTCTTTTCTCATATAAAAATCATTACGAGCTGGGCACAGTTGCAGGTTGGTAGTCTTAGCTACTATGGAGGTTAAGACAGGATCACGTGAGCCCAGGAATCCAAGGGGGTGGGATTGTGCCTGGGAATAATCACTGCTGCACTGGGCAACACAGCAAGACTGTGCATCTAAGAAAAAGCTCACCTTTTTTGCAGAAACACTACCTACTGTGGAAAAAAATTATGCTTCTGCTGACACGGTTTTAGTTGGACTTATTTTAGAAAATGACACAAGACCTTGATACTATTTGATGGGCTGGGTGGGAGGTCTTTGGTTGGCAAGAGGCAGGTATGGGCTGAAGGTGCAGACCACGGACTTGCCAGGGCTCTGGAGGGCTCTAGTTTCTCTGTCATTTTAAAGATGGAAAAGCTGAAGCCTGGAGAAGAAACAGAACTAGGGTATGAGACTCTCAGGGCTTGCCCAGGCAGGAGCAGGAAGACGACGCAATCACCTTCCAGGAAGTGCAACTGGGGTGATGTAAGTAACCATGATAGGTGACCATAGGCCCTGAGGTTTTGCTGGTACCAAGATCTCTGGAGCGTTGGGCTAAGAGGATGGATTCTGGGGCCAGACTTTCTGGGTTTAGAATCATTCAGTGCCTCTGTTTCCCCATCTGTAAAGTGGGCACAATAAGAAATTCTGACACGCTACAATGTGGATGCAACTTGAAGACTTTATGCCAAGTGAAATGAGCCAGTCACGAGAAGATTGGGACTGGGCTCAGCTCTACCCCCGGGTGTGGGTGTGTGGTGGTGGGGGAATTTGTCCCTCAGTCACAGTCAGTCTGTCTGGAGAGGGGTGGGCCCAGTC